TTTTTTTTTTCCTTTCCTTCTCTTTTTTTTTCTCTTTTTTTTTCTTTCTTCAATAAGTTAGGGAGTATTATTTGGTTTACATTCATTGGTCATGTTGCATATTACTCCCTTTCTGCAGCGGAAATCGATTCAATCGTACCCTGTTCCACCCAAAATTCGCCAATTTACACGTCGCTGGAGTAGTTCTAGGACGAATTCGTACAACCGTCAGTATTGGCGAGTGGTGATGAACGAAAATCACGCACGCCCTTCTTTTTGGGTATCTGATTTCCGTCATCGATATCTTATGCGAACAGGAACTGATTATCAAGGTCAAGTACCTACTACACCACAACCAGGCCTTTATCAGGGTTTCAGTGATGTTCACAAGATATTGGCAAATCATCCAAAGCCTCAAAGAGAATCTCGTCATCTTCCGGTTATGCCGATGACCCCACGTGTTGTTTATGAACACATGTGTGAGAAAAAAATTGATACCGCTAAGAAAATGCGTAGTGATAGAAGAAAAGTTGAGCAGTTAAAAACTTTAGAATTTTGGGGATGGTACATGAAGTTACAACGTGTTCGTGGAAGATGGTGTCGGGAACAGGGAGTTTCTAGTCGTGGTGTTTACGGCCCTGCTGTAGATGCAGCAGAGTTATGGGGTTAGTTCCTACGGTGTGTGCAGAGAGATTGTAAACTGTGAATACACAGATTAGTCCTTATTATTATTGTTATTATTATTATTGTTATTATTATTATTATTTTATGGCAAATGTGCGCACCATACCTTTTACGGAATATCATCATCTTGTATTTTTTTTTTTTTTTTTTTTATCTTCTTCCTTCTCCTTCTCCTATCTCTTATTATGTATTTCTTCTTTACAGGTTTAATAGCTCTACGGAAAGAGAGGAAAAAAAAAAGTGTTCCTACAGATGGCTAAAAAAGGATCGCTGAAAAAACGGAGTAAGAAGGAAGAGCAGAGAGATGAAATTGTTGAGGATCTTGACCTTGAGGTGGACGACTACGTAGTGGAAGACGAAGATGTCATTCACAACCGTCGGACTAGCAGAAAAAAGGATGATGATGAGGAATTGGAAGATGTATTACCCTCAGAGGCGCATAAGATGGAGGGTTACGATGACGATGATGATGAACGTGGTGCCCACCTGGAGGAAGAAGCACTTGCAGTGGAAGCAAATAAAAATATGCGACGAAAAATGATTGAATCCGATTTCGATGTTGGAGGTATTATAACTGGTATTAAACGTAAACGAAGTAATGAAACTAATGGTTCAAATAATGTTGCACCTGTAATTGAGGCAGTGGAACGTGACTATGCTGCCCTTTCATCTTCAGAGAGAATGGCTATTGTACAAAAGGAGTCCCCAGAGATGATTAAAATGTTGGAAGAAATGAAACAGTACCTTGCTGAAGTTAAGGAGTTAGCTAAACCACTCCAAGAATTACTTTTCCAACGTCGTTTGTCAGATGCAGACCGAAACCTCGTCCAGTTCCTAGAGACGAAGGTACAATTGATGTTAAGTTATTGTATGCATGTGACGTTTTATTTACTTCTTAAGACAGAAGGTAAAAAAGTGGCAGGACATCCTGTTATTGATAATCTGGTAGAAATTCGTGTTTATCTTGAAAAATTGTTCCCGTTAGAAGAAAAACTACAATATTCGCTTAATCGTCTCCTTAGCGGCAAGACCACTTCTGCGGCACATCTTGATACATTGCGCCCACTTCAGCACAATGAGAGAGGTTCTCTTGCGGCTAACAGTGAGGGGAAAAAGAGTCGTAAACAGTTGGAGGCTATTAAGAAAGCTGATGAAATTGAAAAAGAAGAATTTTCTACTATGAATCGTATTCGTACAAAGAAATCTGATAATCCTGATGATGTTTCAGCGGTTGATCGAAAGGCGGCAGTATCAGCACTTGGTTATCATGAGGATGAGGATCAGTATTTTGCTAAACTAACTGCTGATGATGAGGGTGAAGAACAGGGTCTTTCCCTTGTTGAACGACTTCGGAGACGACAACGCTTGTTAGCCAATGGCGCTACGGCGAACACTGCCGGAAAGGATGACGACAGTGCTGAGGAGGAAGAGGATGATAATGATAATGATGTCATGATCAATGATGATGAGGAAGATGAGGATGGCAGTCTCCTCAGCGAGGACGATGTGGACGACTACGACGCGCTGGTGGCGGAGGAGCACGAGCGGGAGGCGCACCGCAGTGCGGAGGCCTCGCAGCCGAAGCCGAGACTCGACGAGCCGGAGGTCGGCCGCCGCAAGACCAACAAGAAGATTGAGACCCACCGCGGTCTCACAAAGACACGGCCAAAGGACCGCAAGACACCACGCACCGCACAGCGGCGGAAGTACGAGAAGGGCATGCGCATCCACAAGGCACAGTCACGCACCGCACAGCCCGAACCGGAGGGTGGCTTCATTGGAGTGCCCTCTATCAAGTCACGCGTCACGCAGAGCATTCGGTTTTAGGGGAGATGAAAAAGAAAAGAAGAAAGAAAGATGGAAAGAAGAAAAAAGAAAAAAAGATACAGATTGGGAAGAGTTATTCTTCATTTCTGTTTCTTGTACTCGTGTAATGCAAATGAGCTTTAACGAACAGCATAATGCGAAAGTCGCAATAAGTTTTTTTTGTTCAATTGAAGAAAAAAAAAGAAGACAAACAAAAAAAAGAAAAACCACCACTAAAAATAACAAGGGATGGTAAATAGAGTATTTGGTATAATTACTTTTTGATTTTATTTGTATATATTTGTTCCAATATAAGGATATTGTTTTTTTTTTTTGTCTTTTTTTTGTTTGTTTTTTTTTCCCCTGGAAAGGTAGGTGCCGTTGATAGAGGGCTAGTTATTTTTTAGGGAAAAGAAAATGGTTGGAATAACACAGGTTGAGGAAATATTAGCCTCTGAGCGAGAAGATATTAGCCTTATTCGTGAGCCATTACGAACTACTCGTCTTTGCTTGTTATTCTGTGCGAAATCTGTCGTTCATTATGTTTCTACACATCTGCGACCATCAACTCTTCGAATTCTTCTACCAGTCCTTTTTTTGACAACTGCCATATCGCTCTTATGGGTCGATTCCCCGGCTGGACACGCATTCACAGCACTGGATAGTGATGGTGATGGTCTAGTATCACCCAACGATTTTGAGAGGTACTACACTGAGGTTCTACACCATAATCCGGGTACTGGCAGAGCAGCCAAGGCTGCGTTTCCTCCTAATGTTTCTCGCCTCAATAAGGCTCAGTTTCTTTTATGGTGGGAAAAAGGAAAAGGTGATTCACTACGACGGGATGCATTCTTTAGCCAAGGTGTATGGCGAGAAGTGGAATATCTTATTGCAGATGCCATCTGGTGGCTTGTACTAGGTATTCTTTCTTCTGTTGGATTGGGAACAGGAATGCATTCAGGATTACTTTTTCTATTTCCTCATATATATCTTTCTTGTGCTGCTGCAGATTCTTGCAAAAATTCGAATTACTGGACTTATCCAGTTAACCTTTTCTATGGTCCACGTGATCGCACATTTCTCTGCATTGCACCAACTACCACAACCTCTGTATCTATTATTGCTCGTTTGCTAAAGGTAATTCCCGCTTGCGTTTTGTGGGGTGCTGGAACTGCAATAGGAGAAATACCGCCGTATGCTTTGAGTTATGCCGCTGCTAGACAGGGGAAACGACATGGAGAATTAGAGGAAGCTTCAAAGTATGACGTTTTAAATCATATGAAAGTTTGGACACTGGACAAAATTAAGCGTTATGGTTTTTGGGCTATTCTTCTTCTTGCTGCTTGGCCTAACATGGCGTTTGATCTCTGTGGTATGGCATGTGGACAGTTCCTTATGCCTTTTTGGACTTTCTTTGGTGCTACCTTTATTGGTAAAGCTTTAATTAAAGTTAATATGCAGGCAGTATTTTTCGTCTATTTGTTCTCTGGAAACAATGTAGAACGAATCATTAGACGTGTTGGAAATGCAGTAGCACATGTGATTCCTCTTCCATCGTTTATAGCACCACAAGGTGCAAAAGGATTAATTGAGAAATTTGTTAACGCCATCGTAAATGCGCGTGAAGGTATTGCAGCCAGAGCACATGGTAGTGCTCAGCAGAAAATGGAGGAAGATGGGGGTTCTATTATTATGCTAATCATGCACTGGTTTGTGGTGGCCGCTGTTGCTTGGTTTGCCAAATCCATTGTTGAGTCTTTTGCTCAAAATGAACAAGAAGAGAGAGATAAACATACTGTGGAACGTGTGAAGAAAATGGTTTCGCATCGTCGTACAAAAGAAGCGGTGAAGGAGGATGAATTACGGAGTCTTATTGAACTAGCGAGAGCTGGTGAAATGGAGACGTCAAACTCATCATTTGAATCAGCAGCTATGATGACGTTTTCGGTAACTGCCCTTGTTGGACTTGCTATATCTTCATATACACTGTTTGTGCTCGCTCTCTCATTCTTCCTGCATACACTTTTTTGTATGCAATGCACAAATAAGTCGCTTAACTGTTGGACTCTTTGGGGTGTACGTATGGCACTCGCATCTGGAGCTTTATATGCTTTGCACACTCAGAAGAGTGGGTAAGAGGGTTCTTTGCCATACTCTCTCTATTGCTCCTTAGGTTCTCTTGACTATATATATATATATATATATATATATATATAGTTAGCTGTGTGAGTGGTTTTTAAAGTAATAGCTACAGAAGAAAGAAAATAGAAAATGGAAGTACTTAAAGTTCCACAGAAAAAAAGGGAATGTATGGATACGTCTAAATAAGAAGAGGTGTGAGCATATGGGAGCTATTCCTGACGTATTTAAGGAAATTTAGATGGAAGGACTTTGAGGAAACAAGAAGGAAAAAATATATATATTTACTGTAAAAAGAATGAAAAAAAAAAAAAAAATAGCTCATGTTATTGCTCTTGTTACGATTATTTTATCTAATGCTCGAGGAACTGACATGTTCCATTGTACGCACTGATATGACTGCAGATGCATATTTTTCTATACTTTTTCTGGAGAATAATTGTAGATTTGTTTTATAAATTTCTTTCTTTACTTTGTGGGTAATTTCTATCTTTATTTATTTTATTTTTATTCTTTTCTTGATCGTTTTTTTTATTATTATTTTATTATTATCCTACTAATTGCTGTACAAGAGAAAGAGGCAGAAACACCTATTGCCCTGTATAGTAGGGTAAAGAAAACTGCCGATAAAATGGACGTTCGGGCTCTTCTTCAACGGGAGGCATCTGCCCGGGGACTCTCATTGACTTCACTTTCTGAGGTAAGCACGTTAGCATCATCACAGAAGGTGGCCTGCTGTGGAGGCCTGGTAGAGAAAATTGTGGCCGAGTCTGCTGAGGATTGTACAGTACTCTTGCGAGACACTACAGGAACTATGCATTGTGCTATTCACGGTGCTGTAACTTCTTCTTATCCAGATGCTGTGGCCGCAGGAGCATTGCTTCTTTTTCGCGATATCACTGTCGTTGTGGTTCCTGCCTTAATGCCACCTATATTGATTGTTTGTTTAGAGCATCTTATTGCTCTCTTGTTGCCGGGAGGACCTCCAGAGAGTGGACGTGCTCTCGATTTAGGGGAGGCATCGTCATCCTTCTTTTATACAGATATGACAACACACAGTGGAGATAATCTACCTGACACTCGTAAATCCTTAACTTGCGATATAGTCGATGATAGTGTGAATGAAAGGTATCCTGGAGCAGCAACGGCTACTAATAATGATGCTACAACTGCTGGTGCACACCCAGAGACCATTATTGGAAGTCGTGACGATTATGATGATGATGATGACTGCTTAGAGTTGGCAGATGATCTGTAACAGATGGTTAAAAGGAAAAAAAAAAGAAAAAACCTTTTTTTTTTTTTTTTTTTACAGTCTACACATTTGCGCACGGAGACAGACAGAGAAATTATTTAACATATTTTTTTTTTTTCTTTTCTGACATTTGACGGCTACACATTTTGCTTTTTCTCGCATACTGTACATTATACTTCTAGTGCTTTCTCCTTCTTGGTGTTTTTTTTTTGTTTGTTTCTCTCTCTCTTTCTCTTGGGGACCTCTCTTTGGAGAAATCCTTTACTACAGAATCAACATAGAAAAACCCAGAAGGGTGACGGAAAGAATAAAGAAGACAGAGAAGGTGACAAGTTATTCTCTTCATCTGTAAATTTTTTTTTTTTCTCTTTTGCTGATTAAGCAAGAAAACGAAAAGTAAAAGTGGAGAAAAAAAAATTTGACGATAAAAAAAAAAAGGAAAGAAAAAAAAAAAAAAACACACAGGGAAAAAGGGTATAGTAAAAACGAAAACAAAAAGTATGACCCAAGGTGCCCCTTCAAAAAAATACAAGCGAAGGCGTAGTCCGGAGAGGTCGGAAAAAGTTGATGAAACTGAGAAGCTAAAAGATACTCGGTCGGATGAACACACATCTCAAGTCCTTTCCCATTCTTGCGGTGATAGACGTGTGTGTATTAACGTGGGTGGAAGCAGTATCACTACATTAGAGAGTACATTACGTTCAGAACCTTCTCTCTTATCAGAGTGGTTGAACAATGACTTTGCGGGACTTCCACGAGATGCTATGGGGAATCCTTTTGTTGACCGTGATCCCGAGAACTTTAGACACATTCTTAATTATTTAAGAGGCTACGGTTTGCCTCTTGCCACAGAAAAAATTGTTTTTTTAGCTGAAGACGCAGAGTACTACCGTATTGAAAAGTTACGTGCGTTAATTGATCCTCCTGCCCAGTGGCGCTTCGTCAGTGGTCCAGGTGTATCTCCAGATAACACACTCTTTAGTACAGATAATATACTTGGTACCTGCGGAAATGAGCCACTTCCCATGAAAGGTAAATCTATTCTTACACTTCGTGTGGATAAATGTGAATTGGTGTCCGTTGGTTTGCTCGGTACAGAATCGCCAGTTGAGAACGAACCGCTGCAGCGTCAGTCACACTCCATTGCATACTGCAATACAGGTGAACTCGTCCGTTGCTTCAACGGAGAGCAGACATACGCATCAGGAACAGGATTTAAGAACCATGATCTCATTATAGTGGAAGTATTCTTTACACCTGGTTTGGCAGCTAAAGTTGTCTTTTATTGCGGAACTGCGAAGGTTCATGAGACGGAATGGCCAGAGCCGGTGCCTCCACTGCATTTCGCGGTGAGTTTACACGGAACCTCCGCTGTCATTATTGAGAGGTGTATCACCATTGACCCATATGAAGAAGAAACATCTCCGGCAGAGGCTTCTTACTAAGCGTGAGTGTTTTTTTTTTTTTT